GGGGGTGCCGAACCGGGGGGGCTCGAGCACCCTGAGCTCCACGCCGAGAGACGTGAAGTAGGCGTTGGGGATGTTGAGGATGCCTGTGGAGAGGGTGACGGAGCCGCCTCCCGGCACCGTGATGTTGTGGACGTCCAGGGGGATGGTGATGGGGAGCACGGCCAGGTTCACCACCACCCCCTCCAGCCGGTCTGCACCGCTGGCCGTGATGTCCACGACAAACTGGTCATGCTCGTCCTCTGGCTTGGAGTGGAGGTAGAGGACTCTGCCGTTGTTGATGTCCTCCTGGGTGAAGGACTGGATGGGGTCCAGGCTGGGCTGCTCATTCGAGTCTTGGCTGTGCTGAAGCATCGCCAGGAAACCGGAGGCCGGGGGGCTGCTCACCAGGTAGACTATGTCTTGGGGAGGGATCTCTTCATGGGTCACCTGGGAGCGTGGGGGAGACAAGGCGTGAGAAGGGGGGCTGGCACCTGCGAGGCTGGGCTGCCCCACAGCCCACCGCTGTGCAATCCCCCAAGGCTTTGCTGTGGGATGAGCTGCCAGAGTGACCTTCTTGCTGAGGCCGTGCCTGAACCCCTCCCTCTGTCCCTGGGCAAGGACTGACATGGGCACGAGTCCTTTGCTCTGGGCAGGTGGGAGTGAAATGGAGTCCCACCAGTGGCTGTCCTGGTTTGGTGGCCGGGGAAGTGGTTCAGGCTTGGGGAATGACTAGAGAAGGGGATACTCACCAGTAAGTACTCATCCTTGATCCCAGCCGCTTCGCCTTGGAAGACGTGGATCTCCTTGTGATTGACTATGCACAGGGGGCTGGGATGGGTGTCCAAGAACACGCTGATGGCCAGTGTGTCCTCCACTGCCACCTCGTTTGCTTCTGCGGTGAACTGGAGCTCATCCTGGGTGTTCCTGCTCCCGTTGTGGCGGTAAGAGATCTCTCCTGCTAGCAGGTCCCTCTGGGAGAAAGCCATGACCGGCTGCTCCCCTCTCAGCACGGTCCCCCACTTTGGGGGGGTCGTTATCAGAAACCGTATCTCTTCGTCTGACCTGATGTCCATGTTGGTCTCCAGGCTGAGGACAGAAGAGTCAATGCTCCCTCGGCTCCCTTGGTGGATGACTAGACCGGTGTTGTTTACTATTTTGATGTAGGGGTCTGACGCCTGTACTTCCAGGAGGGCCGTGGTTTGGTGGAGGCCGTCTGAGACCTGTAGCTGGATCCAGCCCCGGTCAGCCCCCGAATGGACAAAAAGGATCTTCTTCTTCCTCAGATCGTCCTGTGTGAACCGATAGACCTGGTGGCTTCTGTCATCGACGGACACAATGCTGCCAAACAGAATGTCCTTCCTCGCCAGCACCAGCTGCGTGTCGGAGAAGCCAGAGTCCTTGTCGGTGAAGGCGATGTCATCTGTCGTCAGCAGGTGCTGCCCGTTGCGCACCACATTGAAGACCTTGTTCACCACCTGGACTGGGGTGTGGTCATTGACGGGTTGGATGGAGACCCTGAAAACACCTCTCACCTCCTCCGCATCAGGCTCAGCACTGCCCTCGCCCTGCCTGGTCGCTACGAAGGGGATGTCGTCCTCCAGCGTCTCAGAGTCATCATGCTGGTACAGCAGCCGGCGGTGGAGGATGTCATCGTTGGTGAACTCTGTGATCTCTTCTCTGGAGGCCCAGCCATGGGACGCAGCCCAGGCCAGCCTCCCGTGTGCTGGCCCCTCAATCACTTCGTAGATGTAGTCCATGCTGTTCATGCTCTGTACGAACAAGTGGTCCTTGGAGATGACTGCTTGCCCTCCTTCTGGCACAGTCAGGAGGACGTTGGTCAGAGCTGGCGCGTCGGGGTCCCCACCGATGCTGATTGTGTAGGTGTAAACGGGAGAGTGCTGCTTGCTGGCATGGACACGAAACTGGAAGATGTCCTCGGCTTGCTGAGAATTCCTGATGGTTGCGCTGTAGCTGAGGTGGTTTCTTTGCAGGTCGTCTTGGGTAAATCCAAAGCCTTCAGTCAGCCTGTTGCCGAGCAGCTCCAAGTTTCCCTTTTTGGGAGCCTGGATTATCACGTAGTGGAAGGGGACTGGGGCAGAGTTTGGATCTTCCAACATTGCCTCCAGCTCCTTACTGGTGATATTTCTGTGCCGCTTGTTCTTCATCTGGAGGGGGACCATGGTCCTCATCTTAATGGTGGCTCTTTTAATCCTTATGAGAAAGGTGTTGTTTTGCAAGACCTTCTGCCCCACCCGGACTTCAAATCTCAGCTTCTCCATGACGTCTTCCAGCCGGTGCTCCGGGTCTGTGCTAAAATACTGGATGCGCCCTTGCTCCAGGTCTTGCTGGTGGAAGGACTCGACTTTTCTCCACTCCCCTCCCATGCTCCCTTGCTTCTGGACCTCACCATACCTCAGGGGCTCTGTGACGACATACAGGATGGCGACCTGTTGTTTCATGGCATTTGTCTCCACTGACAGGTTGGCTGTGGTAATGTGCGCAGCCGCTCCTTGGGAGATGAAGAGGCCGGTGTTGTTGTGCAGGCGGATGTCAGGGTCGATGGCGAGGATCCTCAGGGTGGCAATCGGGCTTGGGACCGTGCCGTCGCTCACTTGCAAGGTGAGCTGTGAGTTTGTCCCGCTCTGGTGCACGTAGACTATGTTGCCTGCTTCCAGGTCCCTGCAGGAGAACTCTTCGATGGGCACTCCAGGGTGGAAGTCATACTCCACATAACCCTCCTCTATCTGCTGGCCACCGTGCAGCTGGAATTCGAGGTCGTCACAAGACGTGTCATCATCTAGGACCTGCAGGATGTCTGTGGTCAGGTGTTTTCGTGTGTGCTTCAGGATTGTCATGTGGTTTCCATGGGGAAAGATCACCTGTGGAGCATCGTTGACAGGGTTGATCATGATGGGCAGCAGGTACGTCTGCCCCTGCCGCAGGCACTCGGGGACTCCTTGCTGAGCAGTCACTGTCACCTCCAGCATCAGCTGGTCCATGGGCCCCTCGGAGCCATCGTGGACGTACCTGACTTTCCGATTCACAATATCCAACAAGGTGAACTTCCTTCTGCTCCTGGACCCAGGGATGTCCAGCTCCAGCTGGCCGTGCCTAGGATCGTTGGTGATGCTAAAGAGGATTTGGGACTGCCGGATGTTTGCAAGGCTCAAGTCTACGGTTGGCTGGGTGTGTTTCCACTCCAGGTAGGCCGTGCCCCCTTCGGAGACAATGAGGGGGCTGACGTGCAGCAGCCTGCTGATGTTGGTGAAGGCGGGCGGGAAGCTGTTGTCTGGCTGGCATGGTTCCGCCACCAGGCCCGGTGCTCCTGACCAGGCATCTGGAGGCGGGGAGGTGAGTGCCTCATCCTGCTCATACACCTCCTCGTAGTCCCAGTAGTGCTCCTGCTTTCCACAGCCTGGTGTGATGTCCTTCGTAATCACAGCATCTTGCAGACTCCTCCTCTGCAGGTTTATCCGCAAGTCCTCCAAGCAGCCAACAAACGAGTTGTTGGTCATGGTCCACACCGAGATGAAAGCCAGATGGTGCTCCCTCAGCCTTTGCAGAGCTTTTTCATTCATACCACCGATGAAGAGGTTTCCCTGAAGGTCCAGGTAGTTGTTGATGCCCCGGTTGGATGTGGATGAGGCGTAGTAATCTATCAGTATCTCAAACTTGTGGATGTCCATGTAGACTTTGACATAGTGCTGCTGCTCATCGCTGATGAAGACATTGTTGTGCAGGACGATGATGCCATTCCCCTTCTCAACAAACCCTCTCAGGCGCCCATTGGAGATCTCCAGGTAGAAGAAGTCATTCTCCAGCCCTGCATGGTAGATGAGGGGTGCCTGGGTGATGCTCGTCGTTATCACAAACTCGATAGTCGCTTCCTCCCTTGCATCCCACGTGGGAAACATGATGTAGGAGTGTGGCCCCAGGAACCCAAAGGGGTCCTCGGGCTCCGCAGAGAACTGCATGGTGCACCCTTCCTGAACCCGATGGAAGATCTTGGAGCTGCCATCAGAGGACAGGGGGGAGAGGACATCCAGGCCGTTGAATATCACCAAATGCAGGCAACCTCTGAAGGGTGAGCTAGCCTCGGCGAGGTACGGCAGGGCGGGGGTGCCCGTCCCCCCGGCGGGGAGGGCGGCTTCCCCGGCGTAGAGGCCGTATTGGATGTCCAGCTCCCGTACAGGCCCTGCGATGTCCACGGAGCTGTTAAAGACTCCATCGATGGTCAACGTCATCCTGCCGTCTTCCACCAGCAGCTCCACGTCGTGCACTGCCAGGTTGTTGAGCTGCAGCTCTGCTGGGGACTGCAGCGTCACCTCCTCCGAGCCCAGCTGCAGCCTGGCCTGCAGGGAAAGGACACGGAAAGTCCTCAGCTCAAGCAAGGTGCTATCTCCAGCACAGAAGACACCTCTCCACCTACCAGAAATACCTACTGCAGCATGGACTGTTCCTGGGGGCTCACAAGTGGTTTGATCCCTCTGTTCACTGCTGTTCGTCCTGCTCTCTTCTGCCTCTGTGCATGCTGCTCCTTCATCCCCCCGTGGGCATGCCCTCTCTGTCCCGCTCTCTGAATTCCTCTCCTTTCTCACACTTTTTCAGCAGACCCCGGTGTCGGGACTATCTCCCCGGGGTCCTTCATCTCCCAGTCCCGCTGCCCCACTGCTGGACTTTCCCTCTCCCCCTGCAGAGGAGCCCTGCT